GTTACAAAGAAAGTACAAATGTACCATGGTCAGAAGGATCACCATAAGACTGACAATTTATTGTACCGCCCGCTCACGCCACTCAAAAGCCAACTTATTCGCCCCTTGGTATCGTCCAGATGTCGGTACAGCGGTGGAAATAAAACTTACCTGTGCACCCAACACAAAGTATGCTACCATAAAAAGATACACCAAACATGCTGACCCGGAAGAACTCCTTTGCTTTGTTTGTTGGGACGCCCACTGCAGCATTGGGAAGTTTCTTACAATATTAGTCAGGAGTGGCTACTTCATTTTGAGTTTGCGCGTACAAAGACTACGGCAATTTGTTTCATGCGCTCTTCAAACTGTGTGCAAAACTAGTAACGAGGACAACATGCGAAGGAACAACTTTTCCACAACGTTTTCCACCATCTTCGAGGAGACATCACGGTGAGTCGTGGAGGCGATTGAAAATAACAATCCCGTACACATAGTGGACCGTGAGCACTTTTAAACGATTTTTAACAAAAGTGCGACTGCGTGAGATTTTAAGGGCTCAAATAAAAACCATCTCCTTGATTCTCCTTGGCTGCACAATGCTCTTAGCTGCAAAAATTTCACGAGTGGAACAAAACTTTTCACGCCTAAATGTTGCATTTCGCTGATTTTGTGAGCGAACCATAACCAATCAAATCTATCTCCATATTTTCGCAACTAACCAAATTTCACTTTCCACTGAAGCGACCAAACCTCTGGTGGATTACTTTCCTAGCATCACTGGAACCCTGGAATGCCTGAATGGAGCTCAAACTTTCTAACTGATGTTCTGAACTAACTTGCCTGTCTGTTCTATCCCAGTAGGGAAAAGTCATGTCCTTCGAAAATTCAAGTCCATTGTGCGAATACTGAGAGACCCCCTGAGGCTGACAGATCAACTTCGGGTTGCCCGCTTAGGACGCCTCTAGCCCTGTGATTTGAACCAATCGGGATGAGGTTTTCGCCGCGCGTGCTCGGGTGCTGGTGTGTCCCAGAAGCAATAGCAACCAACTAATCACTCAACTGCAACCAGGTTAAACGGCAGAGACGCACCCCAGATACGGTGAAAAACAACGTAATTCTGCACTCACTCGTTCGTGGTAAAGTCATTGCACTCCTGTTGTGCACGAAAAGACGCGTGTTTTTTCCGTATTGTTTTCAATATGGTCCTGGAACTGTTATGCTCCAGTCGGGCCAGCGGTCATAACTGAGAACTTTAGTCTTAATCTAAGAGCCGAGCTCGAAGGCCCGAACCCAACCCGACCATCTTAGTCACTCCTTTCTGAGCTAGTTCAGCTTGTCACTATCTCTGCTCTCGTGCTCCATTCGGGTGGCGTGGCAGCTACGCGCCGTTACAGCTAAACGATTACTTTTTTGTTTCCGGGCGTCTGCAATCACTAGCCAGATTAACTCGACTTGTTGAGCTACTGAAGGCTGCGAAGTTAATGAACTGAACCATCTTAATTTGTTATACACTCTTGTGGGTAAGCGAACGGATAAACAAATCCGCACATTGATAGAATCAGAGTCGATTGACGCTAATTAAGTTGTGTACTCCAAAAGGAATGGGTATGTGCAGCCAATCGATAAGTTGGAGTGCATAACCTGCTCGTGGTTGGGGCCACGTTTGTGCCGAGGGTTCGCATGGGCTAGGAAGAGACTTCCGTGCACAATCAGGAAGTTACTCCTAATTATCTGTACGCTGAGCGTCAACTGCAGATTCACCACCTAACTCTGCTCATTCGGGGCTCAGTTGTCCAACGTGGACGTTGATATCATCAAACGGGACAAAAATACCTGTTCTTTTTGCTGAAATGCGAAGTGACAGATCCCGATAGAACCCATCTTTTTGACTCCCGGGGCTGAGTGCAACTCTTACACCAAAGATAGCGCGATTCATTTTATCAGGATTACCACATAATGAAAGGGCAAAATTTGAGGCATTTGAATTAATCGTAAGTAGTCTGAGGATCAGGACTGAAATGGTGTATTCTATTCGTTTTGGGGATAAAACATACATTGGCAAAAATGGAAAGCAAGTTTTCCGTAAGAGGTGCCTATTGCCCATTTTGACAGAGAATGAGGATATTGACGGCTGCAAGGTGTATCTGAGCTATGGAGTTTGGTACGTGATTGTTTATTCACTGAGCGACAGGTTGGACAGGGAACAGTGTTTAGGGGACAGACACATGATTTGATCACACAGGAAACCGTGTGATGGGCGGGAATTGGACTGTATGGGGACTGTGAACTTGCAAGGGGGAATGACGCTTTCCGGTTGCCGGGGCCTTGTAGCAAATTTGTTTACGACATCCTTTTGATTTGGTTCGAAATTCTCACTCACAAAACAGTAGGTATGAGGATTTTGTCGATGAACTATACTTGGAGCGAATGAAGCAATTGTCTAAACTGCTTGATTGTGGAGACTGGTCTAGCCCAAAAGCGCAACAATAAGTTACCCGTATCACAATCTTAATTCTGCCACACAAAATAGAGGGGTTTGGAGCCTTACCAGGCTCATTGAAAAGTTTGTTCGATTATCGATCATTCTGATTAACCCACCGATGATCTTGGTGTAGAGGGGTTTCCTCACAAAGTGACGCGATTGTCACAACCTCTAAAAAGCAACTAGGCGTACAGTGGTTATGGCTTCCACAATTTCCTTTCCGATCATTTGGGAAGGGAAAAGTAGACGTGCGCATTGGCGGTGGCAGTTGACGTAGCTCATGCGTCAAAAAACGTACTGTTAGGCAGGAATCCACGCGGATCTCACTATACTGCACGTCTTTAGGGGCTGCTACGGCCGAGAAGCCTGGTCCGCTCGAGGTTGGCCCAAAATTCGGGACGCTTGCCGGTCCGGCATCAAGGCGAGATCCGATTGGTCAACAATCTGGACCCAACAGTCAATCATGACCCAGTATTGGCCAAATGCCGGTTGCCAATGGAGCTCCAGAACGCGTCGGAAATTCCAGAAAGTTATAGCCGCTTACGCTATATATACGAAGCGCTTTACAACTGTTCCTGATTTCGTTTTGGGCGTTAATAGACCTTTTGCACCTTTGGTGTTTGTTTTGACGTGAACGCTAGCTTGGGAGGCTCAGACCGAGAACTAAGCTGAGGAAAATACCGTTACAACAATTGGCGAACGGGAACCCACGATGTCAATCGGATTTGATCAGCTCCGAGAACTATTGCAGCAGCAACGAAAGCAGTTTGAAGAAGCGCAACTGAAGCTCATTGAATCACTGACTCAGAAACTGCATATCCAAACAGCAGCAGCCAGTACTGGTGAGTCTTCTGTTTCCTCAACTGATGCAGCCGCGGCCTCAATTACGGAGTACCAGTGAAATTTTCATTGGGAAGATCAGGAGAGGAAACTATGCATTGAAGCCAACAGCTTGGATGCATCATTGAGCGCAAGACTGGGCCATATCTATCCATGACCCCAACCGTTCGTATGTCCCGTCTCGCGGTCCGCATCCAGGGAGACGGCAATGACCCGCGCGCCTGAGTTTTTCGATAATCACATGCAGACTCCGCTGCTAAATCATTGCTTGACCCACTGTCTCGTTACTACTCTTTGCGTGGTTGTGCAAAAAGTTTGTCTGAGGAAGTCGGTTGACTGATATACGGAGCACGTGGCCAAACCAGCGTAACCTATAATGACTCCTGAGCCTATCTACCGTCAGCGGGTTATTTCCTCCAGAACTTTTGTACTGTACTGCCTGATTGGATACCCGTTGATAAACGCCTCTGTGCGGTTCTTTTGGCAACGTCTCTGCGAGAATCTAGAGGAAGTGAGGTTCATCTTACTCTGTTCATTGTTTCTGCTTACGCTCCAACTGACTGTAGCTTTGGATCTGCCAAGGACAGTTTCTTTGACGCTCTAGGTGCCCTTCTACAGCAGGCTAAAAGCTCAGATATCGCTGTGGTTGCTGGTGGCATGAACACCCAGGTAGGTAGACTAAGCGTTGCTGACGTGCGATTGGGTGGTCGTCTTGGTTTAGACACGAGACGCACGGATAACAGAGACCGCTTACTTCAAATGTGTGCCGATCACAAGCTGTCCCTGTCCAGTACGAGTTTCCGGAACAGCGGAAATCGTTTGACAACGTGGTGCCCACCAGCGCCGAATCCAAATAGAGCACATCGCCGTCAGTTATCGGTGGCGAGGGCCTGTCACCGCCTGCAGCTTCTTGTGGAACACCAGAGTGGACTCCAAGCGCTACTAAAAGCCGAAATGTCTGTTTGCGGTACAACCCAGCTAAACTTATCCAAACATTGGATCTCTGATAGGACCGCGTCTTTCCTGGAGACCCAGCGATAGATTCTACCTGGCCACCACCACAACTTCACCCGACGTATGATCCGACGTCAGGTGAAGTTGGGTGTCCACACAGGCCGAGAAGTTTGGTGGGCCCGAAAGGCCGAATAAATGGAAGAGTGCTGGAAACGGGCGCAAGCTGTTCCGCTCGCTTCGTTCGACTGGTCCTCGGAAACTTCTTGCCAGCGAAGTAATCAGTGACCAAAATGGCCCTCTGATATGCAACAAAGCAGAACGTTTGGACCGCAGGGCATAGTACTTCGAACAGCCATTCAGCTGGCCACCTGCTACCTCCAATCCAGAATCCTGGCTTTCAACAGAAAGGTGGACCGTAAATATTAAGCCGCCTTCAGTCTGAGAAGTGTCCGAGTGTCTTTCCCTACTCAACCGTTATCGTGCTGCTGGTCATAACGACGTTCCACCTTCTCTTTTCGAGAATGGCGGTGGACTCCTCAACTAGTGCCTGTCTAGCATGTTTGGTTCTATATGGGAGAAGGAGGCTGTCCCAAACAACTGGGGTGAATCGATAGTAGCTGCGTTGATCACATCTTTACACTCCGTCAGATGTTAGAGCAAGGCCACATGTACAGACGACCCCGATAATCTTGGCATACCTTGACTTCAAGGTTGCGTTTGATTATGTCGATCGATCAGTACTGTTAACTACAGTTGCTCAACAGGGTATGTCCCAAAAGTTTGTAAGCATAATCCGATCCCTATATTCACATACTTCTGGGCGGGTGAGAGTATATGGTGAGCTATCCAAAAACTTTCCTACAAAAAGTGGCGTGGGACAAGGGTGTCCACTCTCTCCATTCTTGTTCAACTTCATCAGTGATGAAATAATGGGTGGTCTTCAAAACCCCGGTATCCAAATTGTTGCTAGCGAGAGGCTTTTCGATTTGGAGTATGCAGATGACATTGCCCTCATCTTTGAAGACCAAAGGGAAGCACAAGCTTTTTTGAATAAACTGACCACTGTCATACCGTCTTTTGGCATGCGCCATGCACCTTCAAAGTGCAAAGTCATGCTTCAGAACGTGCAGTCTCCGAACACATCCCTTACGATTCAAGGAGAATCACTGGAGATTGTGGAAAACTTCACATACCTCGGTAGTTGTATTAGCCCTGACGGAAGTGCGTCTGATGAAGTCAGTGCAAGAATCTCAAAGGCTCGAATTAAGTTTGCTAATTTGCGTCACTTGTTGTGTCAAAAAGTCACCTCACTAGATCTTGAAGGTCGTGTGTACCAGGCTACAGTAAGGGTTGTGTTGTTTGGGTGTGAGACATGACCTGTGCGGACAGATGATGGGAGGCGTCTTCAGGTTTTTGACCACCGGTGCCTCAGGAGCGTGGGTGGTTTTGGATGGTGTCAGCGTGTTAGTAACGAGGTGATTAGAAAACGGGGTTTTGGTTGTGATGCAGGTACTTCAATCCGGGAAAGCATCCAGAATTACCGATTACGATGGCTTGGTCATGTGCTACGCATGCCGAAACACCGTTTACTGAAATGAGGGTTGTTCTCCGTGCCTCCTTCCATGAGAGAGTTCACGAAGAGTTTGGGCGTTGTTGAAGTTGTACGCCTCCCGTGACCCCGTCTAAGCTTGGCTGGAGACGTTGCAAGAAATGGTGGCTAATCGACGTCAGTGGTGTTCGTGTTGTCAGTTTATTTCCAGATTATCTGATTGAGCGGTTGGAGGTGTAGGCAACTCAGAATGCTTCACATAGGCCAGCACTAGGTCACCTCCCTTACCCCCGCTCTTTTTCCCTTCTTTTCACTCTAGCACCTGCTTCGATACGTGGCCTCTTCCGAGGGGGACTTGATGAAGTCTAAGATCACAACAGATAAATTGGTAGGCTGTTCTTACAAAGGAGTGTTTCGTATTATGAGACCGTTCGTTCCTTAGAGAGAACTGTGTTGCCTTGATGCCATTGTTGACGCACCTAACTAACGTAAAATTAGCTGAAGGCTCAAAGCATAAATATCCTATTCTGCTCATTTGTTCGTACTCGGCCCCTCCCCTGAGAGCATTGAGGTTGGTTCTTGTTGGGACTTGGGAAGATCGTCTCTCAAAGATATCACTCACGGTTCAAGCGTGAAGTTGTCGTACTTCATTGGGAAGAGTGGTCCCTCTTGGAGTGACTATTGTGTCTTCTGCCGCGCATATTTGTACTCAGCCATTTTACTTAGCAAGTTACCCACAAATTTAAGGCAGACCCTATGGCATCACCGTGGATTACCATGTTAACATACATCTCTACGTACTGCAGTAGACCCGTGGATTATGGTTGTTAATTATATATGAATAGACTTAGATGCTTTCGAATCCATACTGGTAACAAAACACTCGTTTTTTTGTATGTAGACACCCCTTGTTAATTCTCTTCTGTTCGCCCGGATGCGTCTTGATAAGATCCTCATGGCTACACGGTGTCCTGGTGTGGTGAACGAGTGAACATTAGCTGGCCAAATCCTTGGTTTGACAACACATCTGCTGCGCTTGACAATGTACGACTTTCTTATGTTTCTCGCATCACTGCATCGGTTTATACACGTCTACTGGTGCCTAGTCCGACTCTGATTCATGATATTCTTGTTTAGAAAGCCGTATCTAGCACCATACGGCAGTGAAGCATCAGTGTTCTCATCTGATATTTTTGTCATCGATGGTGATGATGATGTTGATTTTACCTTACACCGGCCGTTGCATTTAGCATTAAACCTGCCCCTGCTAATTTGTGGAGGATTTCTGACGCGTACCCTGATATTCAGAAACCTCTAAGATTTGATTCTTTATTCCAGGGTCATTGAAAGTAGTAGTACTGTATCGTCAGTAATGTGTACACTGTTCGGAAAATGAATCTGCGATCCTTACACAGCTACAACTGCCCGATAGATGTGATATATGGGGTACCCTAGTAGAACGAAGCCGTTAAATTCTCAAGAGTTCACATCAATACCCCCGCGAATGATGCTATGTATCTTTCCGGGGAATGGGGTCCATTCGTAGGGGTCTCCCTTGATGCAATTACGAAGCAGTCACTATGGGGTGAGATGGCTTAGTGATTAGAGCGCAAATTTACCCACTGGAAGATCCGTAGTTCGAATCCGATCTCTGCATCCCGACTTCTCCTGTCTTGACTTGGGCAACTTGGTCCTCACTCTTCCTTCGGGTAGTATAGCAGCTGGGCACCGAAATGGTGTTACACCTGAACGATTGTGATCATATTCTTAATTACTATGCAAATATTTACATAACCATATGACATTTTTTGCAGCACTTTTGGTTTTACTGCTCACCTCCTGTGAAATTAAGGGTCGAAGGGTTTTACAAGTCGGAAAAGAGGTGGTTCTTCAGTACTTGCATCTGCGTCTGGACATAGTTCTCCAGAGACTTTTATTATTCAATAACTGATTCTTATCGCATCAGCGGCCTTCTCTAAAATACTGTTTCCATAATCCATGCATTTACTGTCAATGCCACCCTTCATTGTTTCACATCCCTTCGCCCACCCGCTCTGCTTTCATTCGGAGTTGTGACAACCGGAGGGCGATCGCTTAGTCATTTTCTGTTAACTTCTCTCACTGTTATGCTCCTCTTAACTTACTGCTCTCCGGGTGTTATTCCATATTCATCTTGGACTTACTCAGACTGGTGGTTTTGCAGCTTCTTTCAGTCTGTTTATTTGGAATCCCTTGCGTTAAGCGATTCCCAGAGAGTGGGTCTTTTTCATCTTCCCAAAAAACGCCTAGTACAACTCCACATAAGGTTTTGCACAGTCGCTCGGTTTGCCTTATTCTATAGTACTGTTCACATGTCCCAGACGGAGCTCTTTTGTCGCTGTCTTTCGTCACTGTACTGGATCAAGTCATTGATCTCCACTCTGTATCCTTCTCTCAAGATGTTGCGTCTATGCGATTTTATCGCCACTACCAAAGACGACACTACCGTAACATACCTATCACCCTATTTTTTTACCGATTGTCTTCTTTTCCCAAGCCATCCCTACTTGTAGGATGGAACCGGTACACATTTGCTGATAATGGAGGTGGAACGAATAGATGTATAGCTTTATGATCTAGAGCGCGGTTCCTAGCTTTTTCTTTTCTGTCTTTCAGTGCCTTACGTCTTACCGGTTCTGGTTTTCCGCCAATTGCAGTTCATTCAATGTCTTCTGCGGTCCTAGTCTCTGGCAATAAGTAAGTCCCATGCACCCATTTTGTTTCCTTCTCTCCCCTGTTCTGTTTCTCAATGTACTGTCCCACATAAGATTCATATGAAATAGGTACTGGGCCACTGGAAGATCCGTAGTTCGAATCCGATCTCTGCATCCCGACTTCTCCTGTCTTGACTTGGGCAACTTGGTCCTCACTCTTCCTTCGGGTAGTATAGCAGCTGGGCACCGAAATGGTGTTACACCTGAACGATTGTGATCATATTCTTAATTACTATGCAAATATTTACATAACCATATGACATTTTTTGCAGCACTTTTGGTTTTACTGCTCACCTCCTGTGAAATTAAGGGTCGAAGGGTTTTACAAGTCGGAAAAGAGGTGGTTCTTCAGTACTTGCATCTGCGTCTGGACATAGTTCTCCAGAGACTTTTATTATTCAATAACTGATTCTTATCGCATCAGCGGCCTTCTCTAAAATACTGTTTCCATAATCCATGCATTTACTGTCAATGCCACCCTTCATTGTTTCACATCCCTTCGCCCACCCGCTCTGCTTTCATTCGGAGTTGTGACAACCGGAGGGCGATCGCTTAGTCATTTTCTGTTAACTTCTCTCACTGTTATGCTCCTCTTAACTTACTGCTCTCCGGGTGTTATTCCATATTCATCTTGGACTTACTCAGACTGGTGGTTTTGCAGCTTCTTTCAGTCTGTTTATTTGGAATCCCTTGCGTTAAGCGATTCCCAGAGAGTGGGTCTTTTTCATCTTCCCAAAAAACGCCTAGTACAACTCCACATAAGGTTTTGCACAGTCGCTCGGTTTGCCTTATTCTATAGTACTGTTCACATGTCCCAGACGGAGCTCTTTTGTCGCTGTCTTTCGTCACTGTACTGGATCAAGTCATTGATCTCCACTCTGTATCCTTCTCTCAAGATGTTGCGTCTATGCGATTTTATCGCCACTACCAAAGACGACACTACCGTAACATACCTATCACCCTATTTTTTTACCGATTGTCTTCTTTTCCCAAGCCATCCCTACTTGTAGGATGGAACCGGTACACATTTGCTGATAATGGAGGTGGAACGAATAGATGTATAGCTTTATGATCTAGAGCGCGGTTCCTAGCTTTTTCTTTTCTGTCTTTCAGTGCCTTACGTCTTACCGGTTCTGGTTTTCCGCCAATTGCAGTTCATTCAATGTCTTCTGCGGTCCTAGTCTCTGGCAATAAGTAAGTCCCATGCACCCATTTTGTTTCCTTCTCTCCCCTGTTCTGTTTCTCAATGTACTGTCCCACATAAGATTCATATGAAATAGGTACTGGGGTTTTTAGCCGATACATGTTAGGCTCGAATTAGTATTGTATAGATTCCAAGTTGTATTAGAGTAACACAGTTTGAGCGACTAGATAAAATGGTTTTCGTAAGTTATCCTTTCTGTAAATGGGACATTTTTTATCACCGTACCTATGGGTTCCGGAGGTTCTTACCGTTTGTTAATGATGTATTGAAAGCGGTACTCATTTTACGTGCACATTCAACTTACCTCGACACGCAAACCACATAACAAGATGAAGTATTTCCGGTTTCATTCTTCGGGAGTCGGCAGTAACTTGCACAAGGTTGGTTTGTTTCCAACTTCAGTGTTTTATCTTTTGACGTTTATTTTAATGCGCACTTTATCAGTCTTGTTTAGAATGATATCATAATCCATAATTAAAGCAAGGTTCAAGTCTGTCAGCCGAATCTCCCTTCAAATCTAACAACTTCAGGCACACTAAGTTTCGTGTATGTCCCAGATACCCTCAAACAGTTCCCCTTGCGTCTTTGTCCCCAAATAGTTCAGCTGTTACACCCTTCCGGGGCATAGCCGTCATGCCCTCCGAAGGAAGCATGAGGACTGGTTGCCCAAGCCTAGACAGGAGAAGTCAAGGTGGAGGGGTCGGGTTCGAACCACGGACCTCCCGGTCAGTAAATTCGCGCTCTAACCACATAAATTATCTCGCCCCCTCCCGACATAAGTTGTACTGTTGTACTGTTCATAAAGTGTACCTAGATGCCAAGTACACTAGATGACAGTCAGAAGCAAAGTGTACTGCTAACTAGTCCCTTACAGAATACATGGCAATTCTGTTGCGTTGTCCACAAATGTTAGGAACGATGGTTTGGATGTTCCGCGGTTTCCTGACATCTCGTTCAGTTATGTGACGGACGCTACGTTATTTGCATTTACTGGGCAAGATTTTCGGATTCAGTTTTGGGAATGATGACCTCTTTTCGGAAGTGCAACTTTTCGGAAACACTTTCTGTAGAGTAAACTCCTATACGGAAACAATTAATCCAAGACATTCGTTTTTTGGATCATGTTTTTCAGTTCGATTTCTTGCGCATTTATCCAAACTGAAGCATGGTTAGATTGGTACAGTACAGCTCAACAAAATCCATCTGAATTGGTCGGAAAGTGTGGAAAATTCTCAGAAACAGTTATAATAAAGACGTCTGTGAGAAAATGAATGGGAGAACTATGCTGTAAACTCTTGCGACTATTCTCCGGAGCAGTCGGATCTCACAGGAAGAAAACACTTGACCGCCTAATACCATGGAAGGCGACATCAACAACTAGCAGCAGTATTGGCGCGCACACACCCGTCGACCTCCAAACGGTTAACTGCTTAAGGAAATACAGAAATTACTTGTGGATAGCAAAAGTCCAGAAAATTGGGCTTTCGCAATCGATGATACTTAGTTCGATTGACTGCCCAGATGAAGCCGGACGTCTGAGAGACAGCAGTCACTGCGCGAAACCTGCTTAGGCGAGGGTCTGAATACCTCAGAAAACAGCCCAATCGATCTTCATAACGCAATCTCTGAAAAAGCCATATGAATCTGGATGAGACATTGAGGCAATTTTATTATCGGTCACAGGAATTTATGAGCTATCCTCCATTCAACATATCGAAACACGGCTCGGATGGTATGCACTCCACATCCCTAAAAGAAGCAACCAAGTCATGGTTAACAAATAATAACACAATACTGGTGGGTCAGTTACTTTGATATTGGCTCCAGTCTCCAAAAAGGTGGCTAAATTGTCGTGAAAAGGCCACCGCAGCATCAGCCTGAGAGCCGGAGTGCTCTCTGGTATTATCCTGCACAAACTAACTAGTCAATAAGAAATTCCTAGGCACCATGCTGGTTTTCTCTTCGCCAAGAATTTACTGACGAGTACTCAAACAGCGCCGTCAGTATGTACTCTGCCATTGAGAAACTTTACCAAGAGTTAACGCCGCCATTGAGTAGACAATCGCGATTTTTATATTGTAATCCCCTCCCTAGGGAAAATCCTGTTGAACGAAAGATGGGTCACTTTCGTTCGCTCCCGAAAGGGCGACAATCCAGTTGAGTTGCCACATACCAGTGGTTCGTATTTTTTTAGTTTCGGGTGTCACTCCAGAGAGTTTGTCGTGATCACACCCGGTTCATGTAGCCGCTACACCATTGAACTCGTTGAAGAGACGAATTGACTTGGATACGCCCACAGCACCAGTTGTGAAAATTCAGGATTAAAACACCCATTGAAGGCAATGCAACTATAGGATCGGACGAAGCGATAGATGATGACCTGGCAGTTCTAGAGTATTCGATAAGTATCGTGGTCCCCGTCATGTAAAAATACGTCTTGGTGATGGCCTGTCATGAGTGGTTGCTTTCCTTCTGAAAATGCTGTATAGAATTTTCACTAGTTTCCGACGTGGGGACTGGTATGTGCGAATCAGTGATATGCAAAATCATCGACGGCTCCTATCAGTTGAAGTGGAATAGTCCATCTTACCCTCCAAGAAGTTACCTAAAACACCCGGACTCAAATACCGTACTTCGAATACAGAAAGCATGCAATATGTTTCCTATTGGTCACTCAGGAGGACACCCCTGTAGAGAAATATTTCTCTAGAATCCTGAGTTTCACAAAACGGAGCAATCAGACGCTGTTGTTTCTATCAGAAGCTGGTATGTACACGAGGCGGTAAGGTCATACTGCCTTTTGAAATACCTTTCCTACAGGCATCTCCCTTCCCAAAAAAATCTCAATGTGAGTCATTCTTGGACCGCACAATACTACTGTTCCCATGAAAACACTGTCTCTGTGCTTACTGCCTGGGACTCGGGACGGATCCGCCGGTCAACAGCCGTCATACCTCTACATGCGTGTGCATAGAATCAGCTAGTGAACAGCACACCCATGAATTACGCTCACCAAAATTTGCAACACAATAGGACCTGCCATCCTGCTTTGGTTTCTAAGGCTTAGTCGTCTAAGTTGAAGTTTTTGGTTTTCTGTGATTTAAAAATACACGTGGCTCCAGCCAAGCGAATCAAGTCAGCTAACTTTCACTATTCAACCTTCCAAGCCTCTGGGCCGCCATCTTTCGGATGGCTGATATTGTCCGATGACTCGGATACGAGTTGACGATGTCGACAATACGCGTTCATATGTAGCTCTTAGGCTGCAAACCGTGTGAACCGCTGTGCTGTCGCGTCATGCGACGAGCATTTATTAGTTCGAGATTCATGAATAGGCTTGGGGTTCATGTGCATGTTCCAGTGACGCAAGGTGTGTCAGCATAAAAAAATAAAGCCTGCGTGAAATATGTACTTCTATATATACGTGGAAAAAACACCAAGAGCGGATTGCTTGATTTGTCGAAGCGGCATTCTGGTTGGCTTTAGTAGACATCAGAGTTGAACGACGGTAGTGACTAGAAAGCGAATTAAATCCGCAGGCAAGCTTCCGCTGCGGACGTGAGTTATGGGTTAACAAGATTGAAATGCCCCAACTCAAAGGCCTTGTTTCGAGACAAGGTACGCGCTGTAGTATATTCAGCACATAAGCTTACTTTCTGTGTCCTCGGTATTTTGGCATCCGGTTGCCATATTGACAAACTTTTAACAGAGCTTGGCATCGAATGAAAGGTTTACATACCTTATCGATCTTCTGATGCATCATACTTTCGAGGGAACCTTGTAGTTAGTGCAAGGCATATGAACCAGTGAAAGCAGTCGATTTCGTATGTAATTTATGGTCTCGTGCTTTTCGGGGTGGGGCCATCTACTCCGGGTCATATGTGGTTACTTGCGTCACTCAGCCTAGAACGGATTTATAGGCCATCCATTTCAGTTTCCTTTGTATTCAAATAAAAACGCACATGGGCTACTTCAGACTTCAGCTCGCAATTGTTTCAAATGTGTTATTATTCCTTATATCTATCTTCTGTTACAGTGTCTTCTAGTAGTCATCAAGTAGGTGAAACTCAGTCCTTGACCTCCGGACGTATTATGAGCGAAGCAAGCCCATATTCGGACTCAACTTTTTCTTACCTTTTGGCGACGATAATTCAGATTCGTGAACAGCAAACTGGTGAGTTCGACCACCCTGTGTTTCTTGCTCAACCCCTGGCTAAATATTCCACGTGACTTCTATTTCTGTATGCTATCCCCCTATCTCCCCCTCTAATACTACCGGATGAATATGCGTGGAACTCCCCTACGATCACCTCCCCAACATGACCGATTTCACCTTTCTTCAGAAGTACTTTGTGTGATTTGTTAACTGTAAAGCACATGAAAAGTTATTCCCAGCTTTTTTTATCTTCCCTGTTCAGTTTCTGTACTTACATGTGTTTTGCTTATTTCTCGTTTCACTTCTGACCTCCCCTTTTCATCCAAACGGTTTAACTCTCTGTTCCAGCGCAGTCCCTTATCAGTGATTCCGAATACCCTGGATTTCAGTCTTCAATAGATTCTTGGTGCAACTTGTTCTCCCAAGGCTTCTTAGTTAATTCTGCAGCTTCCCATTCTGCCCACGGCCCACGCGATGATCTCCTATTCTTTGTGGATAAACAACGGGGTCCTGGGTCAAAAGTGAGTAGTTGTAATAAGTGGAATTTTTCACTTATACATAGTCATTCTTACCTCGGGTAACAGTTCTGTTGGAGCGACGTTGGAGAGTTTTTATGCTATATTATTTCGGTCAGATCACGCTTTCCTCAGCTGAATCACTGATGTGACGAAGGCCATGCGAGACGCATTTATCCCCCGCTGGGTTACGCAGAACTATTGAATTTTCTGTCTTTCGTACCACCGGTCTGCGGATCGCATTACATGGGGTCGCTATCGATCACATTTAACACTCACGTTGTCCTCGAAGGCATCCATTCATTGGTTGGGTAGCAGCAATACACTGCACTAATCCAACACATAACATAAAAACATAAATTGTGAGGTGCTCATTGCATCCCAGCCTTCTGTATTATGAGTTCGTTAGGACTGCCATGTTCTAAACACACGTCACTTTTTGTTTCGTTAGAATATGGTGTGTAGTATCTATGGTGCTTTAAAGTAAATCGCCCTGAAATTGTTCAACCCAGTCTCCGGCGTCCAAAACCTTGAACAACTTTTGCCTGTTATGTTACGGTAAGTTATTGAGGTCGAAACTTAGAAGGAATCATATAATTGCACTTTGGTCTTCAAGTACGAAACGAAATTGATAGAAATTCGGGGACCAGGATTAGCTGACCAGCTGTGGTGTCCCGAGTCTTCATTGACCTAATGAGTAGTATCAGATAATGGAATGAGGGAACTTAGAACACTGAATGAATCCTCCAAAACATTCACTCTTTGACGCTCGGGTGATTCGGTTGACTTGTCAAACTAGAGGTGTGATTGGTCTCCCCTGGAGAGCGACTCGTTCGGGGAAAACCACTCTGCCGAAGTCTTGGGAGCAGTCGCTTGAGGAGAATCATTTTAGTGGCTTCACTTGGTGGCGGAGATATGCACTGATATAAACGATTTTGAGTGTTTTCCACTTCAAGTCACAAGAGCTGAACAGTCTGACGGCTACGTATCCACATTGGTCTTCATGCGGTACAACAAACTTCCCTAACCATAACTACGATCCCATAAAAACGCTTGTTAAGCACACTACAACTTTTTTCGGTTCTTTTTATAATGAGAAGATTTGGAAATTTCAACCGAAGTCTTGTTCCAAAAGTGAAGTCGTTCTTTGCCAAAATCCGAGAAGTACTCTGCAGTCGTTTCATCCTTATTGGAGTCACCAGCAGTGCACATCCCATGAAACTTCAGATAGTTTCAAACTGGTGGTATTCCGGCTAATCAGCTGACGTAACGAGCGGCTGATCGGCAATATAATTATTCGTTTCGTCGTTGTTCGTGAGCAGTTTGAACTCAGTCATGCTCATTTGGTCGCTGAGTTGTATCGCAACCCCCCGTGCCTTATGAGGTTTTATCAGAGTATCCTTGTATCCTGCACTTTCTTCTATGCGTTCTCCTTGTAGTGTGTACTTCGTGTGTTACGAAAAAATAGTCCGAATCTTCCCTCGCCCGGCGATGGTTCGGTTAACTGGGAACAAACTGTCTACTTGAACTTGCTCATGCAGTATGTGAGTCACCCTGTCAACAGCTTCCGCACTATTTCCCATCGCATTTTATCCTTATGGGAATCCCGTCCAATTTTCAACAAGGCTCTGCAGTAATTAAGGTAAACGTTTTTCTAGACTGCTCTAATCCGTCCGTACTATCATTCTCTTGTGGTGACCCTACAACCAAAGAAGGTGAATTTTCGTGAATTTTCACCATAAGCGTTGCTCCAACATTCCTTCGGCTTTTTGGCGTTCCTTTGTTGCATGAACTCCATGTATTACTTTGACTCTCAGGGGAAGCCACTTGATTACCATGGGAATTGCAAATTTAGGACAGAAGCAAAATTAAGATAAGAAACGTGCTATCAAAACCTGCCCAAAAAACATTGCGAATTGCTAATAGGGGAAGAGTAGCATGTAAGCTGCCGGGGTTATCTGTTAGTTGTGTTTGATCATCGGTACTGACTTACTTCAATTTAAACCGCAGAACGTCGAGCGGATAAATGTCCAGATACACTTCACTATGCTACTTTGCCTCCTGTTGCTATGTTGCAGTACATAGGATACCTTTAGGTTCCACTTTGTTGTTATGGGGAAAAACAATCTAGTGTGCGTACTCGCATGTGCTACACACCCAGAATCGAATTTCAGTCAATTTCGCCAAGTGTACAGACTGGAGGCCAATAAATCACTTGACATGGCTGAATATATGCACGATACGTTGGCCCTTCTGCGGCCGCATTGCGTCGGATAAAGTTATCGAATGGCGCGACGCAATTGGCTATAATCAGGACTTTCTGGGGGGGGGG